TGATAGTCGGGGTAAAATTCCATTTGTAAAGGCAGTCCAAATTAGGTGAAATCTTTATACCTAGATATGTCAGCCCAGAAGGAGACCACTTAAACGGCAAGGAGATTTCCAAGCCCAACGAGTGAGTTTTGTTTAACGGCATAGCCTCCGATTTTGCAAAATTTATCCTATATCCAGAGAAGGAACCAAATTCAGAGATCCGATCAATTAATTTAGTAACAGAATTCTGCGGTGAGTCAAGATAGATTAAGACATCATCTGCATAGAGTGAGATTTTATGGATCTTTTTCCCTAAAACGATACCTTTAATATCAGAGTCTTCTCTGATGGCAATCGCTAATGGCTCAATAGCCATTACAAATAATAATGGTGACAACGGACACCCTTGTCTAGAGCCTCGAGATAAGACAAATTTAGATGATCGGACGCCATTTGTGACTATAGAGGAAGTTGGGAGTGTATACAGAATCTTGACCCATTTAGCAAAAGTATTCCCCAAGTTAAAATGATCTAACACCGAAAATATATATGGCCACTCAACCCTATCAAATGCCTTCTCGGCATTTAGTGAAATGACTACACCCCCTTTTGCGCAAGAATTTGAGAGGTTAATAATATTAAGTAACCGTCTAATGTTATGGGATGACAATCTCCCCTTAACAAAGCCTGTCTGATCTATATTAATAATAGTGGGAAGTACCAGCTCGAGTCGAGTAGCTAACATTTTTGCTAGGATTTTAAAATCTACATTAAGTAAAGAGATAGGGCGATAAGATCCACATTCTTCAGGGGGTTTGCCTTTCTTTAGGAGTACACAAATATTAGCTTCCAACAAAGAACTAGGCAGATTACCAGACTCATAGGAATACTGTATCATATCATGCATAGAATTAACCAAAGATTCTTTGAACTTTTTAAAAAATTCAGCTGTGAAGCCATCCGGCCCCGGTGCTTTGCCATTAGCCAATCCCCTTATACAATTGAGAATTTCACTAATTTCAATAGGTCTATTAAGAACTTGCCGTTGCTCCTCAGACAAAGTTGGAACAGATAAATTAGCAAAGAACTTAGTTAGTAATTCATCCGGATCTGACTCCAACTGAGATGTGTAGAGCTCTCTATAGAATTCCATAAAAACTCTATTAATTGCTTCATTATCATGACACAAATTTCCAGCATTGTCTTTGATAGTGGAGATGAATTGAGCCTGAGAGCGCCGACGTAAAGGGTTGGCCAGATATTTATTTTGTTTATTTGCAAATTCATACATCCGTTGCTTTGCGAAAAATAATGATTTCTCCGCCTTCTTTGTAAGAATAGCTTCAAGAGAAGTTTGTATAGTTTTGATTTCTGCCAGTAACTCATCTGAAGGGGATGTATTGTTTCTAACTCTAAGACCGTGGAGCTCAACCTCAAGCCTTCTTTGATCTACTAAGCTCTTCTTTTTCAGGTTTGACACGTATGAAATAATTAGCCCCCTGATATAAGCCTTTGCAGTATCCCATATTAGATTGGGAGATACCCCGGGGGTTTTATTGTCAGAAAAAAAGAGTTCAGTTTGTTCCTTAAGATAAGATACAAAGTTTGGGTCATGGGCAAGCCAAGAAGGAAACCTCCACGCACCCTGATAATGTTTAACATTAGAGAGAGATAAATTAAGGAATACGGCCGCATGATCAGATTTTACAATATTACCTATCTCGCAATTCAATATATTATGAAGGGAAGCTTTGGGTGAAAAGATATAATCTATTCTACTGCTGGTTTTGTGTACTCCTGAAAAGAAAGTATATTCCCTCTCCCCAGGATGTAGAGCCCGCCATGTATCTATTAAACCGATTTCCTGACACGTCTCATCCAGGGCACAAGCCCTGCTAGATCGCCTGGCCTTTGACGAGGCAGATTTATCTAAATCGGGTGAAAGAACACAGTTAAAATCACCAGCAATAACGCTGTGTTCACACTGTAGTTCTGCAAATTTACAAAAGGTTTGTGTAATAAAATCATTAGACTGAATGGGGGGTACATATACGTTCATTAAAGTCATAGTTTCTCCACTCAACTTCCCATTAAGTAGCACATATCGACCTGCGGTATCAGCCTGAACACTTACAATTGAGAGAGGGACATGTTTGTGAATGAGAATGGCCACACCCCTGCTTTTACTATTAAAGGACGAATAAAACACTTGCCCTACCCAGTCACGCTTTAACTTAGTGTGTTAATTTGCCGTCAAGTGTATCTCCTGCAGAAATGCAATATGAACTTGTTCTTTTTTCAAATAATTCAGGATCTTCTTTCTTTTAATAGGATTTTGAACCCCCCTTACATTCCAGCTACAAAGTTTCAATTTGAAGTTATTTACAAACATAATAGCGGTATTTAAGGTTAATAGCACACATTTTTCCTTGTGTAAAGAGTACCTTTAAATTAGCCAGTATTATTGTGACAAACCAAGAACATAACGCAATCTGATCCACAAGGGTTAAAGGAGGCTGAATTTAGAAAAAAAAAAATCTCTAAATGGATAGGTAAAGACATAAACCAAAATCAAATTACTCTGAATGCCAAACAAAAAATAAGAACTATTTCCACTATTCAAGACACAAACAATTATGTCCATCAAAAGGTGGAGCCTGGCGCCGGTCGGTTTCATGTATGAGATCCATGAGTACACAGTCCCATGCTCAACAGAAACTACACAGGACCGGTAAAAACAACAGATGGTCTGGACAAGTGTTAAAAGATACACAAGTAACACATAAACAAGTTGTGCAGTCATAGATGTTCAAAAAACCGCAACTGCGGTAAGCCCCAACGTAACAGTTAACCCTTTAAAGGTATACAAAACATACTTAGTCAGCCTTAAGACAAAGTCTTCCTTCTCCTTGACACCTCTCAATGCCCCCATCGCCAGTATGCAACTCTTGTAGAACAAGAAATAATCACCTTGCTGTCCACACGTAGTATCAATTGAGACGAATTCAAATATAAATAAAGAACACAAATAATCAACCCCAACCACCTGTCACAAAAGTGGATGTCTCTAAGGGTCTGTAAATAACCATACCTTGTTTCCATAGAAAGTCAAACTTGTTTAGGGGCTAATTTCGAATCCCTTTTGAAAAATGTTGACCCGGTTTTAAAGTCATTCAGCCGCATCGGGACGGGGTGTGTTAGTCTGGTGGAGAGGAGTAGAGGCAGGCAGGTTAGACAGGAAATCCTCCACATCACTCGGTTGTTTGAAGAATTTGGCGCCATTATACTGCACTCTAAGGACCGCCGGGTAAATCATGGCAAAGCCCACTCCCTTCTCGCGGAGACGTTTTTTAACTGCACCGAATGCCTGTCTTTTCCTGATGATTGCAGTCGAAAAATCCTCGTAGATGGATATGGTATGTTGCTTGTACAGCAGCCTACCGGCAGCTCGAGCAGCCTGTAAAATTCGGACTTTATCCTGGAAATTGTGAAGCTTCAAGATCACGGTGCGGGGTCTCTCTCCTGGAATAGGATGGCGAATCGAAATCCGATGCGCGCGTTCTATTTTAATCTGGCCATGCTTGACGTCGATATTCAGCAAATTGGGCAGCCAAGATTTGAGAAACAGAACGGGGTTTGTGCCTTCCTCGCCCTCGGGTAGGCCGATTATTCGGATGTTGCATCTCCTGCTTCTGTTTTCCAAGTCATCTATTTTGGCAAGAGCTGCTTCAAGGGTCGCCTTCATCTTGACCAGATCTGCGTTGTCTTTGGCAACGGTGTCTTCCATCGTTGATATGCGTGTCTCACCTCCAGCAACGCGGTCTTCAACCTCCATAACATGCGCCGTCACCACGGAGAGCTTCTCCATCAATGGACCAATTTTGTTTTTGAGTGCTATGTCCACTCCTGCGAGCACTTCCGAGGTGATACGCTTAGCTAGCGCATCCATTTCGCCAGCGTTTAGTGACACATCCGCCATTTCAGGTGTATGCGCGGGAATCGGTAATTTCGATTGTTTTCGTCTTCTGAGCGTGTAATTTAGATTCAATCTTCTCTCTGACATACCTTGCGTCAGCAGCGCCCAGAATATCACCGACTGAGGGAGGCTTATCAGTCTGAAAAAGTTACAATTAAAGGGCTCTACAGCAGCTCGGCATAAACACAACTACTCCACCATCTTGCGTCACGTGACCCTAGTTTTGTTTAAATTTAAAGACGTGCTCCAGAAAAAAAAGTTCACGGAGACGGAGAGTCAGAACGAGCACCCTGTTTATTTTCTTTATTTTACAAAAGCACAATATTTTATTTCGAATGTAGGTGGGCACATAAAAAAAAGTAGACATTTAACAGTTTATTTTTTCATATTTCCTAACTCTGTATGACCAGAAATGGAGTAGTTTAAGTCTATTTTTCTGCTATGTAAAAAAAATCTGCCAAAACGTGCCGGCGCGTTTGCCGACCCCAGAGGGTTAAAAAATGTCACTAAAGGGGTCTGAAAAGTCATTAAAAATAGCGACAAAGGCGCTAAGTTGGCAACACGGATTTAGTCTCATGTCGCTTCCACGCATCCACCTGAAAGTCTTATTACGACACTCATAGATTTCACATTTCATCCTCTGTTGGAACAAGAGTGGCTAACTTCTGTCAACCTCGTCTATAAGCAAGGACAAAAATAAAGCAATTTAATTTGAATCAATTTCGATTCTGGAATAAGAAAAATCTATTTTAAAACCATAAACAAAAAAACACACACACACGTTCCTTAAAATGTTTACAAATACATTGAGCACACACACACACACACACGTTGGGTTTTTATGTTTTATAGGGACTTTCCATATAAATAATAATTTTTATACTGTACAAACTGTATATTCAATCCCCTAATCCTAACTGATGTATTTTAACAATGTGAAATAAGTATTTCATGTATTTCATATTGACATCATTATTTTATTAATTTTTTAAGAGTTATGTTTATCTCTGGATATAGGCTTAATGTGTGTCAATGTTCTCTACAGGTTGTGTGATTGTGGTGTCACAGATGAAGGTTGTGTTGCTCTGGCTTCAGCTCTGAGATCAAACACCTCACACCTGAGATATCTGGATCTGTCAAATAATACACTAGGAGACTCAGGAATCAAGCAGCTTTCTGATCTACTGGCGAATCCTCACTGTAAACTGGAGATACTGTGGTAAGATCATCTCTACCATAAAGACTCGGCGTGAAAAAGGATTAAAATGTAGATAGTGTATAGAATATATGTTTGGCGTAAGCCCCATCCGGTGGTTCAGCGACAGATTCCTGCTTGAACCGTCAGATCCTGCTGGCGGTAGAAGGCAGCGGTGAGGAGTCTCCCTGAAGAGGAACATTTACATCTTACTATATTATTATCCCACAAAAGAGAGTAAAACTAACAGTTAAATAAACCAGACGAACTACAAACCAGACAACAGATGCAGGTTACAGTGAAGAGGGTTTTTAAAGCACAAATGTTTGGTGTAAATCAACTTGCCTTGTAATGCTTGTGCAAACAGACCCTTGCAAAAGCGTGAGCATTTCCTCAAAATGTGTGTGTGCAGCTGAAAAGAGGGAAGTGGTGTGTGTTTCACCTGAACCAGGACTGTCACCATATCAGATTTATCACTACATGATTATCATGGCCAAAATAACACACAATACCAATATATCACCATAACTATAGAAAACGTAAAAAATTAAAATAATAATAATGCTATCAGTCAAATTCATCTTTACTTTATTTATTTTGTGTTATTTTTGAGCAGCAACACAGATTTGAATGTTGCGATATGATTTTGTCAAAGGTTTAATAGACAGAGGAATTGGATAAAGATTGTGTTTGTAGAAGATTGTTTGAATGGAGATCACAGTATTTTAAAAATGAATTGTGCAGCTCTACTATCTTATCTCTCTCTCAGCATATGAGTAGCGCTCATATGCTTCTCCCAGCCCTAACACACGTACACACACACACACACACACACACACACACACACACACACACACACACACACACACACACAAATGTTCCTTGAAATTTTTACAAACACATCAAGCGCAAACACACACATGTTGGGTTTCCATGTTTTATGGGTACTTACAGACTGTAAGTACAAACAGTCTGTACAAACTGTAGGCCTATATTCAATCCCATAAATTGATGTAATTTATACATTTCATATTGACAGCATTATGTTATTTAATGTTTAAGTGTCAAGTTTATCTCTGGATATAGGCTTAATGTGTGTCATTGTTCTCTACAGGTTAAGGGATTGTGGCGTCACAGATGAAGGTTGTGTTGCTCTGGCTTCAGCTCTGGGATCAAACCTCTCACACCTGAGAGAACTGATTCTGTCTGGGAATAAACTAGGAGACTCAGGAGTGAAGCTGCTGAAGGATCTGGAGGATGATCCACATTATAAACTGGAGACACTAGAGTAAGAATAGTGTGTGTGTGTGATTGTGAATATTTTGTCTGAGATTCTTAAATTCAGCTTCAGTTTCTGTAGGTCTCTGAAATGTAAACTATGTTTAATAAGAGTTTAATTCTGCTCATAGTGTTATGACTGATTGTGAAAATAATATTTATGTTTTTTTCAGCTTTTCCCCTTTAACTGTCTTTGTGTGTGATAATCAGAGATTTGGGTTGTTTGTTATTAACTGATATTAAATTTGTAGTGAGTGTAATGATAATTTCTGCTGGTTCTGGATCAGCTGTCCGTTGTGTGAAAGTGATAGAAGCTATATTATGAAGCTATCATGTTTGAGAATGAATTGATATAGATTATCTAGTTAGTTTTCTTATGAAAAGATGTGACTGATGTAATATCTCACTCATACTGCATATGTGACTGTGTGTTTTATTGTAGGTATAGATGACAGTCTGATCTTCTGCTGATCCTCTGATGGTGAATAAAGATCCCCTACAGAGACTCACAGTCAACAGAATCAACAGAGACTGAAGATACAGTGACTTCACTGTTATAAATTAAGACTTCATTTAGATTTCAACAATCCTCTGACAGACCTGATGAGGCGGCAGTGAAACACCTTTTATTTCACAGCAAATTACAGTTTCTCATTCATAGATTAACTATTTTTTTGTATAAACGCTAGGGCTGACTTCTAATAGTCGAGGACTCGACGATTCGATTCGGGGAGGTCTGATTCGACTATGAACCTCATAGTCGAATATTAGGGAAGTGTTATGTAACCAATAGGGGTGTGATGGTTATTATATAACCGTGAGACCGACGGTTATAGTTGAACACCGTCATTAGAACTCTATAACCGCCAAAACCATGCTATTAAAATATTTTTTACAAACATTTTTTATCATAGAGAATGTTTAACCTGTTAAGCTGCAACCCCATTTTTGAAAAATCCCCAGATATAGCATACCCAAACTGAAACAGATACAGTTCATGAACCCTTTGTACTAAAAGCACAAGTAAGATCTCATTTGAAAGCTGACACCTGGAAGTTTATTGTAAATGTAGAATTAATTATTGTCATAATGAAAAAAATATAGTTATAAATAGCTTCAAAGTTTTGTAAAGTTATTATACATTTATTTTTATGAAACATCTTCATGAAAATAAAATTGAAGTTGGCATTGTAGCAATCTAGAAATGCACTGCAGCTAAAGCCAAATGTCTAACCATGTTATATTTAAAATCTGAAGATGATAAGTCTAAAACTCTGTATTTAGTTCAATGTTTTTCAAGATCATGTCATATGACTTTATTTTGATTACTCTAAAATGCAAACTGGTGTTTATTGTCATCTTATAAGCATCTATTCAGACTATTGCCTCTATTGTTTTGTGATGCAAAAACGAGCCCCATTCAGTGTCAGTCTCCCCTGCACATATTCACACCTCTCCGGCTTGGTTATTGCTCTAAATATGCTTTTCTTTTGTCTGCATTATAATCACTAACGACTAGCAATTCACACTGTTTCAATCCCTCATTTCTTTTATAAAAGTTCTCACTTCACAGTGAAACTGTATCAAATGCCCTTTTTGAAAAAAGAAACATTTCAGTAAGCATTCTTATTTAGAAAAAATCATAAAAATGACAGCGAAGTTAGGTAACGTTAGCAGCCTAGCAGGTGCACAGAGCTAGCTAGCATGTTAGCTTAGCACACCATCAATACACGACAATTTATGAGATTAAAATCATGTTTTTACTCTAAACTTACTTTATAGTGCAAGTCGAGTGTTTTAAATAACTTTCTGTGATCTGATTTGGCTTCAGATAAAAAAATCTGATAGAAAATATATTATTTTATTGTATTCTGCAAATTGTGAAAGTCTATATCGATTAGCATTACATTATACATATAATCTATTATTATGAAAATACCTGACATGGCTCGAAGAACACAGGTAAATCAAATATCATTGCAATCATGTTTATTGTCTTCAAAAAATCTTTATCTGCACTTTACAGCGATCTCTGATAGCTTTGTTGTGCCAGGACTTCCTGAATATCACATGATTATGGCTCTTCTTCATGTGATCCATATATGGACTTTACTGAACACACAGCGCCCTCAGACTGTCAGTATGAATTGAAAACACAGTACATCAGAGTATACAGCGCTCATAATGATTACATCGACCCATTTGGGTATAAATTCAATAAATATTATTCCTGTCTATAGAAATCTGATGTAAACCTATGAGAATCTATCAATATTTCTCCAAATCTGCACATGTTTGAGCTAAAAGCCCTGAGGGACGTTGTTTTGTCAAGCGCTGTCATGACGATCGCACGGGAGTTTTTTTCTGAATGAGAGCAGCTGACGCTCATAATTCACATTAAAGGTAACGACTCGTTTTTTAATTTCATAACTCCTGACACAAATTAAGACATAACTGTCACTATAAGTTTCTCAGAATACAATAGTGGTCAAAAACTGAAACTTGAGTCTTATATCTTTTTAATTATGTATAGTTTGTCAAGTTAATAACATTAAATATGATAGTAACTTTGAATTATTTAAAAAAAAAACGCTTCAGAGCGCCCACGCACTGGTGAAGCTTAACAGGTTAAATACTAATATCATCTTACGAGGGAAACGGAGGCGGAGTTAGTGGTGCTTCGGAGGCTGAGTGCTGGAGATGATTCGGGAGAGGTCTGTGCACCTTTACCGATCAGAGCGCGCGCTGACACGGAGTAAAGCCTTGTTTATACTCGACGCGTCCGCACGAGCGCGAAGGTGCGCACGGCAAAAAATAACGCGTTGGGTGCGCAAGACCGGCAAGACCCCATTTCGCTTGGCTGTGTGCACAGCTTTTTTTGTAACAGCGCACACGACGCCGCATCCGAAGATGAACGACTTCAAGTCTAATCTGCCCGAGCATGTAGGCTACGTCTCACCGCACCGGCACGCAGTTTGCGCGTCTAAATTGCAAAGTTCATTACAACGTTTTTTTGTTAAGGTTTTGTTTAGTGTTTGTGATTTATTTAAAACAAAGCACGTTCATTGCAACGTTTTTTTTTTTTTGTTAAGGATTCATTTAATGGAAAGCACATTCACTTCTAGTTGTCTTGCTGTTCATTTTAAATAAACATAGAGCGAGTTGTCCTATAACAGACGAACTGTTATTCAACCGAACGTCTAGCTGCTATATATATTTAAAAAAAAAGGTTCGACTATCAGTCGACTACGGCAAAATCTAATGAATCAGATTCGACTATGAAAATCCTTAGTCGAAAACATCCCTAATAAACGCACAGTATAAACTCAAAAATTTGGGAATTTTAGAGTAAATATAGAGCCTGAATGCATTCGTGTTGTACTAGCAGAGGGAGACAAAGACTAATGAAAAATTCATTTTTCATAATTATGAGATGATAAAACAGTTCAAGCTCATTTTTGGAAAACAAACAATGTTCAGTTCAGTTCAGTTCAGTTTCAGTTTATTGTCCCCTAAGGGAAACTTGTCTTGCAGCCAGGTAAACATACAGGTAACACAACAGGTAAACACCACATATACACATACAATTAAACAACACAAACTACTAATTAAAAACGTATACACTACTACTCATCTAGGTTAAAGAATTGTGCAAATTTAGCAACCTAATTGCACTTGGTATAAAAGAGTTCTTTGTCCTATTGGACTTAAAACAAGGGACTCTAAATCTCCGACCTGAGGGGATGTACATGTTCATGTGTGTAATAATAGTTGTATTACATTTGTATTAATGTATTAAAGGTCTCATATGATGCATTTTCATGTTTTCTTTTTCTTTAGTGTGTTATGTAGCTGTTTGTGCATGTATACGATCTAAGTCTCTCAAAGATTTATTGTAGCTAATGCCGCTACACATTGTATGATTTTGGGCAGTTCCAGACGAAAGATGAGCATCGTGAAACTATCGTGGTGATTTCTGTGGTCATGGCTCGTAGCAAACAAAATTAATTTGATTATAATTAACATGACAATGTGTACAAAACTAAAGTAGCCTTTTTTAGGTATCTGTCAGTCTGAGGTGTCGTTGCCTTAACGCGTTGCTATGGGTTGCGTCACTTGCATGTGTCTTTCTTCGGACTTGATGACGTCAAAATTAGAATCAGAAAGAGCTTTATTGCCAGGTATGTTTGCACATACAAGGAATTTGTTTTGGTGACAGAAGCTTCCACAGTACAAACATAATAACAGTGACAGGACACCAATAATAAAAATAATAAAAAAGAATTAGTAAAATACACAATATACAAAATATATATTTTAAAAAAAAAGAAATACACAATGTACAAAAAATAGACAACAAATGGTTTGTACAGGTATGTATGTACAAATGCAAGGATATGTAAATAAGAAGTGTGGTGTGTTGTGTATTGCACATGTATTGCTAAGTGTGTGCATTAACTGTTCATGAGGTGTATTGCCTGAGGGAAGAAACTGTTCCTGTGTCTGGCTGTTCTGTTGATCAGTGCTCAGTAGCGCAGAACAGACGGCAACAGTTCAAAGAGGGAGTTACCTGGGTGTGAGGGGTCAGGGTGATTCTGCCAGCTCTTTTACTCACTCTAGATGGTCAAGTTTGATCGTCTTCTCGATGCTCCGCCAGAACCCTGCGAGGATCTCCAGCAGGGCCAATTCAAGGACCTCATTAAACCACCCAATCAGTAGTAGCGACGGATGGTGTGTACAAAGGGCAGGGACTAAATCAACGCGAGCTTATGACCCACGCTTACTGGGAATTCCTCGTTGATGTAAAACAGTTTCAATCCTCAGTCCTGATCGCGAGCGGGGTTCAGCGGGTTACCCGCCCTCATTCTCTCATTTTCTCCCTCTCGGCGCAGGGTAGGCACACGCTGATCTGCCCATTATGGCGCGCATGCAGCCCCGGACATCTAAGGGCATAACAGACCTATTATTGCTCCATCTCGCGTGGCTGAACGCCACTTGTCCCTCTAAGAAGTTGGACACCGACCGCTCGGGGCCGCGCAACTAGTTAGCATGCCATAGTCGCGTTCGTTATCGGAATGAACCAGACAAATTGCTCCACTAAGAACGGCCATGCACTACCACCCACAGAATCGAGAAAGAGCTATCAATCTGTCAATCCTTTCCGTGTCCGGGCCGCGTGAGCTTTCCCGTGTTTAGTCAAATTAAGCCGCAGGCTCCACTCCTGGTGGTGACCTTCCGTCAATTCCTTTAAGTTTCAGCTTTGCAACCATACTCCCCCGGAACCCAAAGACTTGTGGTTTCCCGCACACTGCCCGCGGGTCATGGGAATAATGCCGCCCGGATCGCGGGTCGGCATCGTTTACTGTCGGAACTACGACGGTATCTGAGCGTCTGAGCGCAATACAAGTGCCCCGGCCATCCCTCTCAATCATGGCCCCAGGTTCCAAAAATCCACAAAATAGAGTCATGTTCCATTATTCCTAGCTGCGGTATTCAGCGGCGACAGGCGGCCTGCTTTGAACACTCAAATTTTTTCAAAGTAAACGCTTCGGGCCCCGGGGGGCGGGGACAGGCGGTGGCTCAACTTTGAACTTTTTTAACGGTTTAACTGTAAACAACTTTAGTATACGCTATTGGAGCTGGAATAACTGCGGCTGCTGGCACCAGACTTGCCC